TTACTTAGTTATTAGTTACTACTACATAACCTATAAAACTGACTACATGATGGCTAAAATTCTACTGAGCAGCTGGGCATGTAATCCTCCCATTTTATTGCTACCCCTTGAGTAACTAGCATACAGACACCAATAGGTGGCAGTAAATAGCAGTATACGTGCAAACCTACATAACCTATAAAACTGACTACATGATGGCTAAAATTCTACTGAGCAGCTGGGCATGTAATCCTCCCATTTTATTGCTACCCCTTGAGTAACTAGCATACAGACACCAATAGGTGGCAGTAAATAGCAGTATACGTGCAAACTAATAACAACAATTTGCAGCTGAGCCTAACTTGTTAGCCATAACAATGTTTGAAGATAGCGAGATGCATTTCTTCCCATGAGAAACTCCTAACAATAATTTCATTTGGAAAACATTATATAGGGAATTTAAATAATCTCAACAATAATCCCTTCCACAGCCAGGAAGTGCAAAGGTATATAGTCTGAGGTATATAATCTGCTTTTCTGACTCTTTAGAGATCTAGAGACATTGCAAAGATATGACATAATACAGAGTTGCAAGTAAGTCTAGACCAGGAGCCAAACCAGTTCATAAAGAATTAATCATATACCCAGACAAACCCAAAAGCAAAACTCCACTTTCTTCTAGTTTACTATACAGGTAGTCCTCGCTTACCAACCACTTGTTCAGTGACCATTCAAAGTTATGATGGCACTGAATAATGACATTACGACCAGTCCTCAAATTTGCAGCTGTTGCAGCGTCCCTGCAGTCAAGTGATCGCGATTTAGGCGCTTGACAACCGGTACACATTTATGACAGTTGCAGAGTCCTGCAGATACATGATTGCCATTTGTGACCTTCACAGCTGGCTTCCAACAAGCAAAGTCAATGTGGAAGCTGGCAGGAAGTCACAAGTGATGTCGTGCTTAATGACCGCAGGTGATTCGGTTAATGACTGCAGCCAGAACTGATGTTGATGCGGTCATGTGACATTTCACTTTATGACTGTGCAGCTTAGCAACAAAGTTCCCAGTCCCAATTGCGGTTGGTAAGTGAGGACTACCTGTAGTTACCTTGCCATGTTTTCTGAAGAAGATTCTCTTCATCTTAAGCAATTACACAACTAGCAAGCAATTATTATAAGCCCAACAGAAAATGAAGTGTTAAACTAAGCATTATGTTTTGCTATCAAAGAATTAAATAAAACTGTAAATATTAAATCAAAGATTAAAGTGAATCAGACTAATTCAGATTTATGTCAATTAATACAGATGAATAAAAATTCTTATGACAAAAAAGAAATTTGTAGGTCATGGTTAGGACTTCTTACTGGAAAACAATGAACAAGGAGTGGGTTCAGGATAAATAATGATGATGGGTTAAGAGATTTCTATGAGATGCTGTAGTCTAAAGCTATGGGTAGGTAAAGATGGTATTTTAATCCTACCATGGGCAATAATGTGCTATCCATTTATTTCAGCCAACTACAGTAGAAATTACTGTATCTTTTTTATAAGATACACCAACTCGTAGGTGGATACACAACATGGGCTGGAAATTATATAAATACTTTTAGGGAGAAATTAAAAAGTCTTGCAGGACTGAGTTTATAATGGACTCCATGAAATAACTTCCATACCAATTTCTGCAGAATTCCTTAAACATAGTTGCTTCTTTTCAGACTTTTTCCCATTCCTATTATAGTGTTTGGGTATGTTCCTTGTTTTCCAGCTGCCACTGGATTTACTGGTGATGGCTGTAGCAAGGAATCTATCTGCACAGCAGCTGCCAGGATTCCAACTGACACTATTCCTGAGCCAGTTAGGCTTAGTGATGGTCATCCCCTCATTAATTACTACTTGTCTCAACAAGTGTAATGCTCTTAACGTGGGGCTATTCTTGATAAGTGTTCAGATATTGCAACTGGTGCAAAATGCAGAAGCCAAGCTGTTAACCAATACAAGGAAAAGGGATCATATGATGCCTGTATTGCAAAGTCTCTACTGGCACTGGCTATCAACTGCTTACTAGACACTATTTAAATCTCCACACCCTGATCTGGTTAGAACAGGGTATCTCAGCCATGGCAACTTTAAGATGTGTGGACTTCAACACCCAGAACTCCCCAGCCAACGTGGCTTGCTGGGGAACTCTGGGAGTTGAAGTCCACACATCTTAAAGTTGCTAAGGTTGAGAAAACCTGGCTTAGAGATTTATCTGAGGGACTACTTCATCCTCTAGGAACCTCCCTGGTTATTTACAGCATCAGGAAAAGTACTTTTGAAAATATCTCTATCCCCAGAGCTGGTACAAACAAGGAGGTATTCTCCTATGCGGCTCCTAGGTTGTAGAACATACTCTACAAGGAGGTGTATTTGGCCCACATTCTCCCAGTAATTAAGAAAGTGGCAACAATATGTATCATTTGCCAAGCTTTTAACTGTTTATTATTTAATGTAATTGATTTAAAGTTTTGAATTTGATTTGACTGTATTGATTGTATTACTGCTTTTTTTTGTTATTGTTTAAGCTGTTTTGAATGTTTATAGAAATAGAAAGGCAGGTCATCAATGAAATAATAAAGTCAACAAGTTTCCTAATGAAATCATACCAATTCCACCCCTTCCTCAGGAAAATTACCAACTGAATGCAGCAATCTATTAATTTTTTGGATTTGGATTTTTTTTTAATCCTGCCTTTATTATTTTTATAAATAACTTAAGGCGGCAAACATACCTCATACTCCTTCCTCCTCCTATTTTCTCCACAACAACAAACCTGTGAGGGACTGGCCCAAAGTCACCCAGCTGGCTTTCATATTTAAGGCAGGTCTAGAACTCACAGTCTCTTGGTTTCTAGCCTGGAGCCTTAACCACTAGATCAAATTGGCTCTCCAATTAATATTAATAAACTAATATTAATAAATTAACAATAATATAATTAATAGCCCGGGATTGTCCACGAACTCATATTCAGGCAAGATAAAAACATTATACTTTAGCATTTTTGATTGAGAGGCTAATCAAAGCTGGAATTGCCTTTATAATATTGTATTTATAAATACAGGCCAAATGCAGAATCAAAGAGCAGGCTCTGTTTAAAAAGTAAAAAAACGTTCAAGGTGAGTTCAACTCTATGCAGGTTTCTTGACAACAGTATGGAGAGGATACTATAGCCTACGGATTTTTTTTTTCCCAACTTCCCAGTATAGCCTACAGCTAGGGGATTTCTTGACTGTCTCCCATCCACGTATTAACCACATCCCTGCTTAGCTCTCTGAGATCAGCCAAGATGGGCTAGGCGCCACCACTAGCCGAACACTACGCAGCATATCTAGAGATCGTGTATTTTCGCTAAAGTGACTGAAAAATCCCCATAATCATCCCGACTGTATCATAACAATATCACCACAATAATATCAGGATTCGACAACACAGGAAGTGCGAATGCACTGATGTTTAAAACATGGAAGGGGCACACTGAAGCAGACTCAGTGTTCCCTTCCCCGGGCCTCCAGGTGTTGGTGTTGGGGTGGGGGATTCTGGGAGCTGTAATCCCCGAGACTATGGGATCTCTACTGCAAGACTCCAACCCGAAGCGGGAGCCGCGCGGAAGACCAAAGCTTCGCCGTGACTCACAAGGGCCGAATCAGCAACTGGTCGCTCTCCTCAGCCGGGACGAAAGCTTCGGTTCTTCTCCTCGCCGACATCCTTGGCAGGATAAAGACACACGCACTAGGGGCTTACAGCCTTCACAGGCAGTCATACATCCACGTACCCCCCATCTCTCTCACGCTTCCCTAACGCAACCGGAAATGCGACATCTCCCTCACGTCATCTCTGAGGGCGCATGCGCACTATAATGCTGCCTAAGCATCGATTCTAGCCGTTCCTAGAGCGGGAGAAAGAGAGCGAAGGACAAGGGTCGGAAGTTCCTTAGTATAATAGGTGGTACCCGGAAGGAGGAGGAGGAGTGGGGCTGCTCTGGCCCCTGATGTTATTGGTACGCCTCTCACCGCCCGGACATGGAGGAGTCGGTCCGTATACGCGGGGAAGACTTTGGAGGTGATGCCGAGTGGAAAAATATTTGAGCTCAGAAAGAGGTGATGTTTCTGTTATCTTCGTAGGTCTGTAGAATAGGGTAGTTTTTTCCTCCTTTTCTTTTTCCTGGAAAAATTTGAACCAATCGGTTTCTTCTGTTGGGATTGCTTCATCCACCTGGTGAGGCGGTGATGCGGACAGGCTTCACCGGCTGGATTTCTACCTGTGATGCAGATTTTCGGAGCTCAGAAGCAAAAGGAGGAAAAGAGAAGGCAAGTTTCCCTACCCTGAAATAACTATATCATGAATAAAATATTTGGAAAGTAAGTGGGATTATTTGCTTCCTCTCTTTGCAGCCACGGTTATATAGCTGTAGGAGCTTTTCAAACAACGTTGCCTGATTAATTTTTAATCAGGGAGATATTCTTCAAACCCTGAGCTTTGGTGTTAAACTTTAACAGCGTTCGCACAACTCACTGAAGAACAAGCTAGTAGACGTTTTAGTCGGTGCACTCTATAAACCCTCCTGTGTGACTGGTATGGTTCAGTCGTAATACAAATCCCGAAAATTGGATCATTGAATTAACTGGGGTTAAATTAACCATTGGGGACTGGGCTGTACAAATCCAACCTTTACGTCAATAGTTATTTGCTATGATAGGTCTGTATACAGTCTCTTGCAGAGGAAATTTAAATTGAGTTAATAACAAGCAGATGACATTTGCTCATATTTTGCTTCTCAGCCTCTTAAAGGCATCTAGTTGGTCAAAGAATATTGGTGTAGACTGGTTTTGACATATCTACTCTGTTGAAGGTAAATATTGAGGCATATTTACCCCAGTTGATTGCTGCTCTCTATATTCTTTTGGCAATTTGAGTTCTATCCCAAATGCGGTTGGACATCTGTGCAAAGTTCAAGTATATGTTTTTAAGACCGCACTTTCAATAGTATGAGAAACAGGATTTTCTTTTCTCTCTTTACAGCATTGGTTTTGATTCTATATCAAAAAAATAATGTTCAGAAAAGGGAAAAAGCGGCATAGCAGCAGCAGCTCACAAAGCAGTGAAATCAGTACTAAAAGCAAAGTAAGATATACTTGATACATTTTTATTTTAAGAAAGCGCATCTTAAAATACCACCTGTTCTCTCTACGGGTTGTCCGGATGTGATTTTGTTCACTTTTGCTCCAGGGGTGTGGTATTTCAGCTCCCATTAACTCCAATCAACAGCCAGTAATACAAGAAACTGGTATCCCCACTTTGAGGACACCAAGCACCTGACCCTGTTTTCAAAAGCTAGCAAGGGTTGAACACACTTTTTGTGAAGTTAGAGTGGAATATACATTTCAGAGAGTTATATGCTAGTCTGGGGTTTCTGAGTAGTCAAATACACAGTATTGTTTCAACCAAGGGCATCATTCCTAAAGAGATTAATTTTGTTTTTGCTTAAGTAAATCGGCTAAATAAAATATTTCTTCTGTACTGTTGAACTGTTAAGATAAGCTGCCCATTTTTATATGCTAATGACATGGAGGAATTGCTGAGAATGGATTATAAATGATGAATGAAATATTGCTTAGATTTTGTGTGTGTGTGTGAGGATTCTTTCAGAACAATTTTACGACAGTACTAAAAAGAAGGGGATTGTGGAAGGCTATGGCTATGTTCAGAATATCAGCGATGTTCATTGTAATGGAATGTGGCAAAGTGAATCTCTGCCACGGGCTTCAGCAGGGTGGGGTAAGGCAGGGGAGAGTAAAATACAACTAATGTATTAAGATGCAAGATGCAAGTACAGTATGTAAGGGTGGGATTTGCATCATGTTGACTCAGGTATCATTTTAGTGTGATCTTGGTTTGCTGCAGATGTTGCTGGCTTGGGCGAGGGAGGGGAATCATGCATCCCCACTCTTCTCTTCTTCCAGCATATTTTGTTTCAAATTTTTAATTTTTAATTAGTTCATATTATCTGTGAACCTGGGCAAAATTATCTCTATTTTGCTATAGTTCGCTAAATTAAAAAAAAATTTATAAAACCGGGTTGTTTCAGTGGACCAAAGTTAATGTTGGTTTAGGACTCAGGCAAAACTCTGTGGTTAACTGAAAATAGAAGTGAAAGCTTTTAATTTCCTCCTGGTGGTTTTACTATAGGTGAATGTCAGAGGAGGAAGGTTCTCATTAGGCTCATTTCCATAATAATAAATGCACGTTTTGATCATTTAAAAAACTCAACACATATAATATTGATTAGGTGTTGTTTTTTCTACCAAGTAGTGATTGGACCCTATGATGACTAAATATAACTTTCATATCAAGATCTCATTATTTTCTGTTTGGTTTTGGTGAATCTGAGAAAAGAATTTTATCTTGCCAGCTGAATTAAATAAAAGCCCATATTGAAAAGCTATCATCTGTTAAATAATTAGAACACATATGGTGTTCTAGGTTTAATGTGGTTTTCATTTAATAAAGCAGTTTTCTAAAAAAAAAAAAAAAGTTTGACCTGAATAACTTCATATTTTTCCTTATCCAGTCAGTGGACTCTAGCCTTGGAGGTCTTTCAAGATCTAGTACTGTTGCTAGTCTGGATACAGACTCCACAAAGAGTTCAGGTATGAAACTGATGGCTGTATAAAGGCTTTATATCTGTAAGACTATGTAGCTGAGTACAGTATTTAAAACAATCTGCTACTGTACGTAGGGATTTCTACATCTGGCATATTTTTTAAAGCAGAGAAAATATTTATATCCTTATGATCCTCCCAGCTGGGGTTTAGAGGATTTCAGATACATTGTACTGTGCAGGTTTAAAATAATGCACACAAGGACTATGAAATTGCATCTGAGTGACACTAGCCAGCTCTGAACACCCATTTTAAGAAGGCAAATTACAGTGGGTTAAGAGAAAGGCAATGAAGGTCATTGAGAATATGCTGGCCTTATGCAAGGCACTGAAAACCTGGTTCTTCCCTTGGGCATTGGGTCAGAATGTAGAATAATCCCATCTAGAAATATAAAAATATTGAATGGAATATGCAATGGTTGACCTCAGTTATTTTGTTGTTATTCTTCTGTTCTGGATATTTGTTATGTTTTGTTTTTAGTTCTATTTTTATGTTTCTAACCAATTTAAGCTCCCTAGGGTTGCTTTTATGAATTGGGTGAACATATCAATCAATCAAATAAATATGGAAGACTAGTCCTATGGGGAGATATCTAAAAAACTGTGTTTATTGAGCCTTGATTCTTGAGAAGACACAATGCTTCCCAAATGGAAGTGCTCCATAGAAGTGGGCAAAGATTCTCCACTGTAGTGGGGTAGATTTCAGTTGACTATTAGGTTAAACTTCTTAAGAAAAATATAGTTTGTCAATGAAGCTAATAACTTGAGTGATTAGGATATTTTTCTCAGAGATTTTCAAGCGAAGGCTAGACTGTTAAGGAATGCTCTAGATCTTTTACGTTCTAGACTGAATAAGGCACTGAACTGAAGTGGTTACAAGGCCTCTTCCATCATGGTTCTAAAGTGAGTTCTGTGAAAATAATGGTTAAAGGTGACTTTGATTTAGAGATAAAGGGTTAAGTACCTTTTCTCCTATGGACTTTTCCAGTATTAACACCAGCAGTTTTGAGAACATTGTGGTATAATGCTACTAAATCTTAGTTCAATTATGTGGGATAGGTCATGAACCTGACTCCGTTTTAATTTTAATGTCCCAAGCAGTTTGTTAATCATTAAAAATGACTTAGATGTGTGCTTAACTGTGTGTTTCTTTATAGGTCAGAGTAACAGCAATTCAGATACTTGTGCTGAATTTAGAGTGAAATATGTTGGTGCCATTGAAAAACTGAAGCTTGACGAAAGCAAGACTTTAGAGGGACCACTGGATTTGATTAACTATATAGATGTGGCACAGGTAAAGAGTGACTATTCTGGCTAAGATACTTAATCATGATTTATTAAATGAATTGAATGGATTTGCATGACATAAGCCATAAACCAAAATTCACAAACCATAATGACAGGCTTCTTATAATACTCCAAAGCAAAATCAAATAAACTACATTGGGCTTAGCTTATGTAAAGTACTTGTTTCATCAACTGTCTCAAGAATGTAGGTATAATAACTTGCTATTTATGCTTTCATGTCAGAATACCATTTTTGTTTCTTTCCAAAGCAAGATGGAAAGCTGCCCTTTGTTCCTGGGGAAGAAGAATTTATTATGGGAGTTTCCAAATATGGTATTAAAGTCACAACATTGGACCAGTATGTAAGTAATGAATGGTTTTAAAAGATGCTATTGGTATGGTTAGATGAGCAATATAAATTCTATTATCCTTCCTCTGCATGTTTAAAAAAAAGGCAAGGCAGATAATTTCCAGATTCTACAATAGCAAGTTTACGTATAACTTGTTGAAGCAGGGATGGCATTCTGTGGTCCTAGGCCTCATTCTGGGTTGTGTTGCTGACTTTTTTTTAAAATGTTTTGAGAACTACTAAAGTTTATTGAAACAAGGATGAAAATGAATGCATGAAGCCTCTGAGGGGCAAAATGCATCCATTTCCACTTTAAATTCCATCCAGAAGTGAGCCAGTTTTTTTAGGCCTATTGACTCAGAAACTGCCCCACCTCTACCCCATGAAGTTCAAAGTATTTAAAATAAAACCTTTCAGCTGAAAAGGATCATCTGCATCTGGTTTAAACACAGTAAAGATACTATTGGAGTCTTATTCCAAGCTTGATTGCAGATTTGAGTCCACGAGGGCTATAAAAATGGGGTCTGCATTGTTGCAATGACAATGTTGCCATGGAATGATAGTCCTCTTTCAGAATATTCCATTCATTCTATCTGCCCATGCCGTTTTCTATTGCTCTTTTCCCTGAGAGATTACCTGTCACTGGGTTATTGAGCTTTGCTTTGTGGGTTTCTCTTTTTAGGCTTTCCCCACCCCCCAGGGTAATTTGAACTTCTCCTTGTCTGAAGTTATGGATTTTCTAGTTCTCTGGATATGTAATACTGGATCAGATGATATGTGGCTGGAATTTCCTAGGGACTTTTAGTGAGTGCCTTATCCCCAAAGAAAAGCAAACATTATTTCCTTCCAAAAGTAATTACACATTGATGGTTCTGTCCCATCTTGTGTCCCTCACCTATCACTGGAGAAAAGGAATTTCTTTTCTCAAGAGATGGATAGCTAGTTTTTTTTATTTCTCTCACCATTTATAGTTAAATAGATGCACCATACATTTCAGTACAGTATTAGCTGCCTTAACTACAACACTAATCTAAGCTCCTAAAAATGTGAACTGTCATCACTACCTTACTGATAAAGGAGATAAGTTTTGCTAGTCTATGAATAACTCCTCATAATTATTATTTCCCTAAATAAGGCATAGGACAACAGTCTCTTTCCAAAGGCTAACTTTGAGGATTTGGAAGTACTGGTGATACGGTGTCTTTTTTTTCTCTCTTTCATGATAATTTAAATTAATTAGTGGAACTTTCAGGATGTTTTGCATAGACACGCACTCTACCTAATTGTCCGGATGGTCTGCTACGATGATGGCTTAGGAGCAGGGAAGAGTTTACTGGCTTTGAAGACAACAGATACAAACTTTGAGGAATATAGTCTTTGGATTTACCAGTGCAATAGTTTGGTAAGATTTCTGTGTAGTTTTTTAAAAAGCCACCTACCACCCACTCTTGACAAGATTCTGCTTAATGTATGTTGTGCTAATTCTTCTGCATTATGCCCCAATATATGTACTAGACCAAAATGTGACAGAATTGGTTTAAGCTTTTGGATACCATATAAACTTATGCAGGAGCAGGATTGTGACAGGAGTAAGTAGCCTGGTACCCTCTGGATGCTTTGATGCCAGCTGTTATCTGTCCTGGCCAGCAGAGCCAATGGAAAGAAAATGTAAGGGTTGTAGTCCACATCACTTGGAGGATATATTATTCCACTCCTGGATTAATAATAGAGAAACAGTACAGTCATTACAACCTGTGCTGTTCCTCTCCTAACAATATTTGATCATTAAATCAGTCATTAATGATCAGTTGAACATTAAATCAATCCTGCTCTTAACTTTTATATTCACAAGTTATATTCTTGTACTGACTCCCTATTGCACATAATAAGCATTCTTCAGCTGGAAATTGAAGGAGGACGTCCTGTAACATTAAAAGGTTTTGTATGCTGGTGAAAACAAACAGCTTATTATTATTTTCTAAAATGCAGGAACAAGCACAAGCTATTTGTAAGGTACTGTCCACAGCCTTTGACTCAGTGTTAACATCAGAAAAGTCCTGAATACTGTATCGTACATCATCCTGAAAAGGAAGTTCTTCTTGCTATGACTTCAACAACTGGAGAAAAAAGTTCACAACTGCTCCAAAATATTAATTTTTAAAAATGTTTGGGTATAATGTTCAAATAAAATACAATTTTGTCAATAACATTTGTGTTTTTAAACAATGGACCAAAAATTCACCCAATGCTAAATTACATTATTTTAACATTTCATAAATCTGAATAAAAAATTGATGAAGTATCTTCTGGATATTCACTGTGCTTTCTAAATCACCTTAGTTCTATGCACATTTCACTACTGAAATATGTCTTATTTAACATTTTTCTTAACTGGTTAAAGTCATAAAAATAAGCATATCATGTAAGATCAGAGTTAGGAAGGCCAGATTTTTTATTAGATTTACAAACTCTAAACATTTGGAATATCACTCATTTTATTCCAAAACTCTCAATTTGTTAAGGATCTTTCTTTCACACAAACACAAAGAGGCAATAGGAGGCTTAAAGTAGTTTATTTTTTCAGTCTAATGACTGATTTAACAGAAGTAAAATTAATCATGCTCCAATTATAAATCACTGCCTCCAGACACTAAAAATAAGAAATGATTTTAGGTTATACAATGTATACAGTTGCTCTGCAACTAAACAGTCAAAACCATCACAAAATTATACATCTCAAGTAGCATTCTGAACTGCATTTTAAGTGTCTTATGCTCCTTTAAAAATGGTTAACACAGTAATCTTATGTGCTTGGTAACAGTTTGTTGAATATTGCCACCTCTGTTGTTGGTCATGAAGTCTGAATGAGAGAGTTCTGTGTATTTTTTTTTTAAAATCCAGATTACCTAACCAGTTATGACTTAATGTCACATGTCACAGAAACAGTATTTTAAAATAGAAATGTTTCTTACAAGCCTACTGCCATCATACTGATGTAGCGTGAGAAAATACTCTTATTTAAGATTGTCTAGTAGCCATAATCAAGTGTTTTACAGGATATCCGAAAGCTTCCAAATTGAGCTCCAACCATGTTCTTCAGGTAAATCGCATCTTTAGGCAAATTAATGAAATTTATTTTTTTGTCTGACAGAGCTACATATATGATACATTCTATATTTGATGGTCTCCTTGGTTTCAAAAGAAGTTTTGGCATTGGAAAACCATTTTAGCCCAAGCATCTTCTGGTATACATATGTAGTACAGTTCATTGGATCCTACCCAATGTGAAATCTGAGGGTAAAGAAGCTTCAAAAGGCTACTTTGCACATAGTTGTTGACAGATTCTGTGTTAAACACTGTATGTAATGTGCAAAATAACGTGTGAAATTATTTCCTAGAGTTTGCCAGGTATATAAACATAAAGAGTCAAAACCCAACTGAATTAATCAGCATCTGAATAAATGTGTAGTGGCAAACTATTCTTCTAATATACATATATTCAATGGGAACTTTGAATATGCAGACTTAGCTTTAAACATACAACAAAACTAGCTTGAAAATATTCCAGTTTCCCCCTCCATCGCACTGCAACCACTCATATTGTTCTTAATATCGGCCAACTGATTTGCATCAATACATCTGGCAAATTGCCTCAAATGTACCACTTCAGCAAGGCAACAGAAATATTGAGATCCAGCATTTCCCCCCATCCAATATAAATATACGAAAGGGCTCTTCCCCCATCTGTTTCCACTTATGTTAGCCAATATATACATAATTTCTGTGTCAGAAATTCAAAGTTCTCTTGATAAATCTAGAGATACAATAGTCACAAAACTTGTGATCAAAGCCAATGTGACCTGGACATTGATATTCTATTCTATGCTACCGGTGCACATTTTTGGTAGCATATGCAAAATAAAAACCGTTACAATATCACAATATACAAACATTAAAAGGACATAGCTATGTTCTGTAAGAGTCTATTCATTTTGAATTATGAAATCTATTCACAATTATTAACAGTGTTAACTACCATGTTCTAGAATATATTTCAGTACACAGTGCAAGTCCACAAACAGACAGAACTGCTTGCAGGACAGCAATGTTTACCTTAGCACAGGACCGTTTGGATCAGTGACTACTACACTGTTGACCACAGCAATCTCTGTATGAACATACCACTATGTGCTTTACAACTTGTTTTCAAAGAAAAGGACTGTAAGTAATATTTCATAAACTATTTCCCATTTAAATTTATCAGCAGTATTGTCATGGGTCCCGTCCCCCCCCCCCCCCCCCCCCCC